CTTGTCTATGGCCCTTTAAAGGTGCACTTTAAAAACATGTAAGTGAATAACCAGGAGAAACAGATACTCATTAGAATTATGACTTTTATTTTTATTCACTAGAGCAACATTGAGGAAAGGATTTTTACATACAGGGTTTTTTTAATCAACTTTACAAGCAAATTCCAATATACAATATTTACTCTGGCCTGGGTTAAAAAAACCAACAAAGCAGATAGTAAGGGTACCTCTTGTTTTAGCCAGTTACTGAATTTCAGATTTCACTGACACTGGAATTACACTGTTTTTATTGTGGTGCTTTTACAATTAAATAGGCAGTGAGCAGCTTGACCACAACAGTGACTGAATTACCTTGATAGCATAGTTGAGAAGATTACTATACTGAGACCTACCACCAGGATCATGTACTAAATCCACTCTGCTCTGAAAAAGCCACTGTAACGAGATTAGGAATAGTTATGGAAGCCCAATTCAAGAACAGATTTCCATTTATAGGGCAAGAAAAATGTTCATATTAGGAGAATTATGTGCTGTGCAAAACCAGAAATACTTTTCCCCCCAACATGCAACCTACCCAAGTATGACACTTCAGAATGTGCACATGGTTGTGACATGCAAACGAAGGAAATCACGCAAATGGTATTCAGTTTTCTAGCATCGATACAACAAATCAGCATTTAGATGAAGGATGAAATGAGTTTTACTGGCCTATGATGCAGTCCAGTTGCTGTCTAACTGCTATGAGATTTCAGTTGAGGAACCCACTGTTTTGGAGCTATATGAAAAACTCAGGGCCATTTTGGATTTTTCAGGGCTTTTGTGATTATTCTGAGAAAGTCTGAAATAGTATTGCACTTCTTTTCTCAAACAAAAACATACGCCGGGAACATTATTCTTTAAAGGCTATGCCAGCCCTACCTAGGGAAGTGTTGCCATCGGCCTTGACTGGCAGTAGGAAGCTTCAGAGAAAGGGAAGGTAATGATCTGGCTGCATCATCAGTGTTAAAATTCCACAGTTAAATTAAAAAAGTCATTGCACAACAAAAACGCAATACACTACATGAATAGTTTTAAACATGCCAGAGTGCATATCGATTCTGTGAAAGGGATGTGAAGATACCTTGGAAACAGCAACACTAGCAGGGAAATAAGTTTCAAACAAAAGCCACACAGCGGGAGGCATCTAGATTATTTTAGGCACAACTCCAAGCAATAAAGCTCATTTAAAGTGCAATTCTGTTTTTCTCTTTTGTGTTTATTCACTTTTAAAAATGCATAATTACCTCTGTACACACATACTGAACGGTAGTTTAATACTTTTGTGAATATTGCACAAAAGAATGAGAAATAAAAAAAAAACCACCAAAAAATGGCAATAAACCAGTTTTAGAAACTTAAAAAAAACCCCTGAAGATATCAAATCCTTTAATTTACACAATCAGGATAATCTGCACCAGTACTGATGATGTATCTGCACCTTCCATACGGCAGATACGGCACCTGGACATACTTGCTTAATCCCATTTGACAAGCTCTACACAGCGCCCCCTTATCCATCTCTCCCCCAACCTCCTTCCTTTGCTGAAGTGAAGCTTCAAGCTTCACTACTTCCCTTCCAGTTGCCCATTTACTGATAGGCTTTGCTCGTACTCTGGACTTACTGTACATACAACAGAGCCTTCCCTGGTAAAGTCTGAAAAGCCGAATAGGTAGTTATGTAGTTGCCTTTAGAGGGATGCGAGGTTAGCAGCTGAATACAAACAATTCAGGCTAGCATCTGTCTCATCTGTGATCAAATCCTGCTGGCTCCAGCTCAGTCTCTTACTAATCCTTCAGAACAAAATGGGAAATGTTATGACAAAGAATATAATCTCCTTATGCTCCTTTAACACAGAAACCCCCTACCACCCCTCAGAATATTTATGTTCTTCTAACAAAAAAAAGAGTTAAGAGCTATCTTCTTTTTTTAATGAAAACCCTGATTATCTTTCTGCTTCACTCCTTAGTTTTCAGTAAAGGTGCAGACTTTTAAATGTAAACATAAAAATTTAACATCACTAAATGAGACTGGTGATACCTCCAGAATAAGAAGCAAAAGAACTCACGGTGAATTATCCCTGTCAACAGCACTAAGTGAAAAATCGTCTTTTTACACATCATATCCAACTAAAAATAAAATCAGCTTCTCTTTAAGGAAAGTAAACTTAAAAAAACCACCTTCCATAGAAACCTACGTGGACCAGAAAACGAACCAGGAATCCGATCACTCCCTCAGCAGTTTTTAAACTCCCGAGAAACAGCTGCCAGGAGCAAGTTTTTGGGGAATATAAAAAAAATCAGTTTTACTTTCTTATCAAAAGTAAGTGCTTGCACTGAAAGCAATCTAATTCAATGCTTTTCAAGGAAAGAAAGATTTGTTTTCCTGGAGAATAATTATTACAGCAGTCTTGAACTGTAGTTCTTTTGATTCTGTATCAACTGTAACAATTAATGTTAATTGTTCACATTGCCCTCGCCTCAGTTAACAGGAAGTCCTGCAGGTCTCTTCTTCCAGATTGACATAAGCAGTTCTGAAATGGAACCTTCCCCCTACCCATTTCCCCCCTAAGCTTTTAACTTTTTCCACTTCATTGTCAGTTAAAAAAGTTTACAGTGCTACAAATCCAAACCCTTTCTTAGACGTTAATTATGTGCCGAGAAATTCAGGTGAGGTTTTTGTTTTTGCCTTCTCCCACCCAACTAAGGTATCCATCAGGATACCCCGAGCTGAATGGCTTATGTTACACAAGTTGATTATCGAATTTATTAAGTATCTATACCTATCCACTTTTATTCTCTCAAATAAAATACTGTAATATGTCAATGTCCCACAGCCAAAGCTTAGAACAAACTATTATTATGTTTCATTTTACTGACATTATATGCTGTTCAGGAACAGATTTTTACTGATGTTGTAACAGCTGATTTTAAAACCAATACAAGAATAGAAAAAAACCCCAATGGGTAACATCCAAGAAACAGCAATGGGAAAAGAGGGAAGAATTGGAGATGGGACAAACATTAAGTTTCTGGAAAGCTTCACTGGATATGCATATATTTACTCAAAGCACATGTATCATGGTCCCATAGTTGCACCGTGATGGGCACACATTTCCAGACCACTTTCAGAACAAAATACGTCTCCTAGAGAGCAGAAAAGTGTTTCCTTTATTTATTTCCCAAAAAAAGCTCCTTCCCAGTTATCATGCACTTTCGAAATTACAAAAAAAGAAATTTACAAAAAACCCCACAACAAAATACACATCTCTGACAAACTCGTACGAGTATCAGCTGTGGATTAGGACATGATAGGACTGCTCAAAACAAATAAGTGGGGTTAATTATTATTAATTTTTAAATAGTTGGGCTTTTGAATACAAGTTTTATTCTGTAAAACAGTTTCAAGTTCTTACATATATGGTAAAGTTTGTGCAAAATTTCAAGTCAGGTACTTCAGAGTCTTCCAATGTTAAACAGAAATCATAAATACAAGTAGTACAGTAAAAGTCTAAAAATATCAATTAAAATGCATGTTGTGCAACCTTAACATAGGTGTTATGGACCCCTTATTCCCAGAGGATCCCTACTTACCAATTCATAAGAGCCTGTCCTGGAAGGTTTTGCACAAATATCCTTAGCACTGCGTTTCAAGGATCTACCCAGTAATGTGTCTATTCAACACAATAAAAACATACCAGAATCTTTTAACAAATGATGACATTTAAAGAGAGAAGATTCAATTCACCCTGTGAAATCTGCTTATTGTCTGTGAACAGTGAAATCAGGATAAATAAAGAACAGAGCAACTTCAGATTACAGCAAAACAAAACAACACAATCCACCCGACCCATCAGATTAAATAACATTAAATATGTCAGTCTTGAGATAATGATAAATACAAGGATTTTTGCATAGGCCTCTGGAATACAGAGTCAGAATTATGGCCAATAAAACATCTGCTAGTAAGTCTAATCTTCCACCACTCTAACCTAACGAGTACTCAGAACCAAGAAGTTAAACTGAATAGCAATTTCATTGTCTAATAAATCAACAGAGGTAAGAAATTATTTCTGCCATCCTGGAATACACAGTGCAGCACTCTGGAATCCGTGGTCACCACAGACTTCAGTACTTACTTAATTACCAAGACCACTGGGCAACACAATCTTGAATACAAACTTATGGTATCATAAAACACTCTCAAGAGAAGCTGCACTGTTCATAACATGAGCCTCAGAATATAACAGGATGGTCTATGCAAACACTGAAAGATTATAATTTTTATTTCTTTCTTTATATTTATTTTTAATATTCACTCAGGATTTGCAGGCTGTAGATAAAGCAGCCTCAAAGGCAGTCAATACATAGGAAGTAGTTTAATGTATGGCATCATTCAATGAGATGTAGGTATGTTCTCAATGTGTCTTTGGTTTAGGGAGGCGGGAATGTCGATTAGAAGGCAAATTATACCCAGCATGCAAACTGGTATTCTGTGTTTGCACATTTTCCTTTCTCTGTACGGGTGGCTTTGGGATATTAGTCTTCAAACAGGTGTTCTGAGGCTCTGCAGATACTGGTGTGGATTTCTGACTGCTCATCTGCTTAGATTTAACAAAGGACATAGTTGGTGGGCGAAGTTTAGACACTTTCTGACTCTGTTTACCCTTTAGGTTGTCCTGCCCAGATGCTGGCTGTAGCTGAGTCGAACTACGTGATGGTAGAAGCTCAGGTTCCTTGGAAGCAGAGGAATGGTTTGCAGATCTTGCGAGAACGGCCATCGTAGGAGGCACTAAAGCATTTGGGGGCTTTGCGATTTTTAAAGTCTTTGGCCGAGAAGCCTGGTTTGTGACTGAGGTTTGACCTTTCACAGCTAATTCAGTCTGCACCTCTCTAACATTAGCTCGCTGGGAGGTCTGAAAACAGGAACGAGATGTTAACGTACCTTCTTTATTACTAGCTACCTCTCCAGGGTCTTCGGTATTTTTACTGTTCAAATTTTCCAAATATGATGAATTATCATCTTTTATGTTTAACTGTATGCTCATTAAAGAGTTTACATCATTCAGGCTATTTGTGAGAGAGACATTTGCAGCATTTTTATTCTGATGATTGCTATTTTCATGCAGACCATGTTTAGGATATTCACTGTGGGCCTCGATATGTGGCATTTTTATTAGTTTTCCCTGGGCGAGGTCTGTGGAACTGGGAAGGCTGCTGGAAGGCTGTAGTACTTGAGGCTGTTAAAGAGGAAAGAATGCAATAATGTATTAGGCAAAGAAAACACCAGACAACACTGACTCCAACGTGCGCTGACTGGATGCTTGGTAAGGGCTGTGTATCTGCTTTTTTAAAATCAAAACTTTGACTTTGGCAAAACACGATGGTTCATGGGACGCATACAAATGTGACTTGTAGCTTAAGTGGAAAAAATTGTACTAGCACCGAAATACACAACAACATAAAGACAAAAAAGAAACTGATAAGCTTATAAAAAGAAACATGGCAAAGACATGGTTGATGGCTTCACCTAAATCTGCAGGACAGCATAAGAATGGCACATAAGCACTGAACAACTCTGAGTCAAGTGCTTAATAAACAAATGCAACGGCTATCAGACTGTATCAACCTAATAATTTCTATTCACTGCATACTCAAGTTAACTATCCCAAACCTTTTATCAATATTCTATACTGTACAGCCAGGAAAGGAGGTTAATGGACCACATGAATTCACAGTGCATTTTCCCTGCCTTACTGAGGCCAGAAAATTTGATACAGTACGCTGTAATTAGGCTGCTGACTAGACTTAGGGAAGTATTGTATCTTGAATGGATTTCAAATGGGCTGATAAAGAAATCATCTTCAACAAAGCAGTACAACAGAGTACATATGAAGCTAGATATCATATACTACTCCACTGATAACCAAGAGATAAAGATAACTCAATGAAGATTTTTACATTTTGTCAGAAGATACAATCTGATCAGACACGTATCAGACAAGAGAACTGCAAAGTACCTCTTCAGGGTCATTTTCTCTTTGCTCTTCCCTGTAAAATACTTTAAAGATTAATATGTGCACTAGCTTCACAGAACACACCCTAGACCTGCAGTTTGTATACAGATCTTGGAAGAATTACTAAAAATTCTGCAATTCATGACAAAACCGATTAAAACTTAAAATACAGTTTTAGCAAGTTTCAGGTTGGAATGATTTTCTCATTTTCTCTATAAGGGTGGGAATTGAACTACTACAAGCTAGTCCTACTCCTAAACTACTTGACTTCTTACCAATTGATTGCATGTACACAGGAAACAGGCTTTGTTTATTAGTGAAATATAGTCAGTAAAAAAAGAAGCAATGCTTGTCTTTAAAAGATGTGACTAAAAATGTCACTTCAGTCCCTCCTGAATGATGCACAGTTTCTAAATGAGAGCACCAATCATTTGGCTGCTCTTTCAGCT